GGTCAATGACTGGGTCACCCGAGTCATTGAGTTTCGATTGGGTGTCAGCAGGAGTCTGAAAAGGGTTAAAATTTAGCATGTTAGCTCGCTTTAGGACTTTAAGGGCATATTTCTTTTGAGAGAGAAATAAGTCTGCATTTTGGATGTTGCTGATATTTCCAGAAAATATGATATAAGACCCAAATCGATCATTGCAAATTCCACAGTAAGAAGTTTGATGACCAATTCCAAGAAATCTGAGGTAGATGTTATCAAAATAAAATCATCAATGTATAACAGCAAGTAACTAGTGACGTCCCCTCGCTTAAACATAAATAGGGATGAATCGATTTTACTATGTATGAATCCAAAGCGGGTGATGAAAATAGCAAACTGATTAAACCAAGTTCTCGGGGCCTGTTTGAGACCGTAAAGAGACTTTTAGAGATGGCACAAATGGTCTGGATATTCCGGGTCGTGAAAACCCAAGAGTTGATGCATGAAAACGATTTCATTGAGATGACCATGTAAGAGTGTCTTTTTAACATCAAGATGGTGTATTGGCCATTTTTTAGAGGTGGCGAGACTGAGAACGGTGCGGATAGTAGCCGGTTTGACAACCGAACTAAAAGTTTCACCATAGTCAATCCCCAGTCTTTGACTTTTTCCATTTGCAACAAGTCTAGCTTTCTACCGTTGTAAAGAGCCATATACTTTATATTGTGGTCTAGGAATAAGTACCCACGTTCTATTTTCAATGAGAGCATTAAATTCGGTTTTCATGGCATTGGTCCAATTTGGGTCACGAAGGGCGTAAATATGAAAGCGGGGTAGCAAAGATTAGGTTGTGGTGTGGAGGTTAAGTTTGAAAATGGATTAGGCGATGCCAGTTTTGGATCTAGTGGTAATAGGATTAGTGGTGTAAGGGGCAGGAGGAGGAGGAGAGGGGAATGAGGGAGGGCTGTGAGAATTAGAATTATATGATGGAGGGTTTTTTGGGAGGGTTATGGAGGTGGGGGCTATTTTGGTGAGTTTTGAAGGTGGGGAAGGGGGTTGTTTTGGTGATTGGTGGAAGTGATGGGGCTGTTTGGAGGGGATTCGTAGGGATGAAGGGTAGTAGAAAAGGGAGTGGGTGGTGCTATGATGTCGGTGTTAAGGAAGGTATAGGATGGTGTCATAGATTTAAAAAGAAATGATTGTTCATGAAATTGAACATGTCGGGAAATAATAATTTTGTGATTATGGAGGTCTAGGAAACGATACCCACGTTGGAGAGATGGGTACCTTAAAAAATACATGGAGTTGAGAGTGGGGCACGTTTGTGTGTGGTTGGTATTAACAGGTAGCATAGACAGCCAAAGGCACATAAATGGTCATAAGATGGGTTTTTATAGAATAAGTGAGTGAAGGGGGTGCCATTTTTTATAGAGGTAGATGGGGTAAGATTGAGAAGATGGCAAGCCATTTGTAAGGCTTCCACCCAATAGGTAGGTGGGAAGTGGGCATGAAAAAGAAGAATACAGATGATATTGTTAATGGAACGAATCATTTTTTCAAACCTTCCATTTTGTTGGGAGGTGTTAGGGCAGGAAAAACAAAATTGTATGCCATTTTGATCAAATAAAGTGTGGAATTCAAGATTGTAAAATTCTCCACCATGATCGCATTGAAAAGATTTAATTTCGCATTAGAATTGAGTTTGAACATATTTAAGATAATGTCAAATTTTAGTGAAGACATCGGATTTGTTTCGTAAGGGGTAAACCCACAATAAATGAGAATATTGGTCGAGAAAGATAATGTAATATTTAATACCACTATTGTTGGTGACTGGGGAGGTCTATAAATCAGAATGAACAATTTCAAACAACTCAGTGACATTATTATTAGAAGATATAAAATGTAAGCGAATGTGTTTGCCAAGGCAACAAGCATTACAAGATATAGACAAACTGGTTTTTTTACATGAAATCAAATCACTCGAAACTAAAGACCAGAGAACGTGAGGTCCGGGGTGTCCCAAACTTTGCTACCAAAGAGAAGCGTTGGTGTTGAGAAGGGCGAAATCAGAAGGTGTTGTAGGGTAGAGGTCCTCGATGCTGTCACATCTAAGGAGCATCTGTTAGGTCAGGAAATCCTTCACAGAAAAACCATAGGCATCAAATTCAATGGAGGCATTATTATCAGTAGTGAATTTACGAACATAAATAAGGTTTTGAATGATATCGGGTGTGACAAGGACTTGATTTAAATGTAAGGGACGATAGGCAGAGAGAATTGTGGAATGTCCAAATGAGTGACGGGAATAGATGAACCATTACCAACAAAAACCGGATTATAAGGACTCTTATTACTGACAGAATAGAGAATACTTGAATCAGATGCGAGATGAGAGGTTGCTCCCATATCCATGTACTAACTTGCATCTTCGGGTTTATTACATGTCATGGTGTTAAATACAACAACAATATTAGTGGGTTGGTTATTGTTCACAGGGGGAAACCATTGACAAGGTGGAGGG